ACTTGACCTCAGCCCCCTCTCCCCGAAGCCCACTATGTACCCACACAGGTTGTGGTCGTCTGACCCACTTCCTCCGTTTATTCATAGGTCTCGAGGCCAAAGCTTTCGACCCAGACCCACAGTGAACCCTTGGTTTTCATGAGCTGTGACATCCATCCAGCAGCCAGGTAGCCTGAAAGGTGCCTGGCAGGTGGCATAGCCCTGCCCCCTGCTGTCGCCCCGCAAATGCTACAGGACAGGTGGCACACCAGACCGGAAGTCTTTCTGGGTTCCATCAGGGGCCATTTCTTTTGAAATGCCGTTCTTAAATTGTGTTCTCTGAGCTCTCCCCTTGCTATGCATTAAATCCATATGAAGTCCTAACCCCCAGGACCACAGGATGTGACCTTATCGGAAACTGTCACTGCAGATGTAATTAGGTAAGACAATACTGAGACAGAGTGGGACTCCAATCCATGACGGCTGTCCTTACAAAATGGACATTTAGACACAGGCATGCACACCGAGAGGCCATGTGGACATGGAGGCAGAGATGGGGTGACGCGCCTACACGCCAAGGGACATCGAAGGTGCCAACCCCCAGGAGCTTGGAGAGGCCTGGAACAGATCCTCCCTCACAGCCTCAGAAGCCCAGCCTGCGTCACCTTGATCCCAGCCCAGAGCTAGAGGACAATACATTTCTGTGCAAGCCACTCAGTTAGTGGTACTTGGTCACAGCGGCCCCAGCAAACTAGAGTATCTGCTGGCGTTTTTGCCTTAACTGAATTAAGTCTTTGAAGTGATGTATTTAAAGTTGTAGGTGTCTTAGCTGTAATCTGGTAAAGCCTGCCAGCTGCCCCTTTCCACTCTCTCCTTCTGCCTTAGCAAAATTACCTCTGGATTTTAACTGGGCACATGGCTGCTCCAAGTATAGACTATTTCTCAGCAGCTGTTGTGGCCTTTTGACTAACTTCTGGTCCATGAGGCACTGAGGACGCAGCAAACCAGCAGGTTAACAGCCCCGTCTTCACAGTGCTCACCTGCCAGAGTGAGTGGTCAGGTCTGGGCCCGGGCCCCACGTTTTCGGAAGAACCTTGAGGAACTCCAATACTTCAGGTCTGACAATTAAGTTAGTAAACTTGCCACAGTGCACTTACACTGGCAGCACTGTACAAACTCGGTAAGGTTTCATAACCTTGGTGTATCAGTCTCTCACAGCTGTGTTCGTGTACACGTATGGTGGTGTCTTGCTGAGTGGCTTTCATTATTGTTGTGTGTTTCTGTATGCCATCGCGAGAACATCTGAGCTTGAATTAATTTTCTTGTTAAACTTGGCAAGAGTGGAAGTAAAATCAGGGACATGTTAGTCCCAAGTTTATGGGGATAATCCATGAAGAAAACAGCAGTGTACAACTGGATTTTTCCTAGGGGGAGAACGCGTCACCGATGAAGAGAGGTCAGGGAGGCCAGTAACAAGCAGATCTGACAAAAACATTGCAAAAATTCATCGAATTGTGCGTCCAAATCATTGGCTGACTGTAAGAAGCATAGCAGACCAAGTAAACATCGACAAACAGGAAAATCTTAACTGAAAATCTTGGCATGAGAAAAGGTGTGTACAAAAATGGTCCCCAAGGAGTTATTGCATCATGACAATGCACCAGCTCACACGGCACTGTCTGTGAGGGAGTTTTTAGCCAGTAAACAAAAAGCTGTATTGGAACATCCTCCCTACTCACCTGATCTGGCCCCCAATACCTTCTTTCTTTACCTGAAGATAAAGAAAATACTGAAAGGAAGACATTTTTATGACATTCAGGACATCAAGGATAACAGGAAAACAGCTCTGATGGTCATTCCAGAAAGAGTTCCAAAATTGCTCTGAAGGGTGGACTACGTGCTGGCATCGGTACATAGCTTCCCAAGGGGAGCACTTCAAAGGTGACCATAGTAATATTCAGCAATGGGGTATGCAGCACTTTTTCTAGGATGAGTTCACGAACTTATCAGTCCTCATACCCACAAGTAGAACACAATGCTCAGGTCTCACCCCAGAGACTGACATGACTGATGCCAGCCCCTGACTGGCTGCACTCAGGAGCATCAGTGGCCATGCTGTGGGCGTCTGTCCCTCTAGGCTCAACAGTCCTGATTCACGTACACAGCAGTTTTAAGATATGAAAAGCATTAATCACAAAAGCATCCAAATATGACTACTTTCAAACCTTCACCCTATGTTTTTAGGTTTGGCTAGGTCTTTAAAAGTAATGATAGTTAGGTCATTTATAAGGTATGTGTTTGAACATTTTTTAAATTTGTGGACCAAAATCAACAATGAGGCTGTAAAAGCAAGGTGTGTGGCCTGGGGTCCTCTAAGAATGATGCTCTATCAGGTACCCACTGAGGTTTGTTGGAAGTAGCACATTTTACATAAAGGTCACTGCCATCCACGTGCTATAGTTTTTTAGACACTTTCAAGTTTAGTCATTAGAAATCAGAATCCTCGGGTTTTATGAAGAGTATTTTCATTTTCAAAAGGATTTCGACTCCTATCCTACCATGCTGGGTACAGAAACAGGTTACTTTGTAATGCACATTTTTAGAAAATGTGACCTCAAGATGTCCCCAAGAATACTGCCCTTTCCCTTCACACCAACCCATGTGTCACAGTACTGGTGTACATCTTCAAGTTTTCAGGAAATATGTATGCTTCCGATACTCCTTGGAGCACCATCAAACAACTGACAATTACATGGTGAAAGTAGGGGGTAGGGGGTAGGTGAAACCATGTAAAATTTAACAAAGATTGATAAAAAGATAGCTTATGATACAGGTTCCAACATAAGTCAACTGCCCTGGGAAGGAATTCGCAGTATTTATGAGAAACCAATCTGAGTCTAAAGCCACAGAGGTGTCTTTGGAGGTCCAAGTTAGGTCTGCATCCTGGCTCTGTCACTCCTGTGACCTCTCACCTTTTAACGGGCCAGTTACATACTCACAGGGCAGTTGTAGGATGAGATGAGGGCCTGCTTGAAAGCGTGGTGTCTGACACAGCAAATGCTCAGTAATGGAGGCGATTATTAGCTGACCTCAGCGTTACATAAGCCAACAGTGTGACAAGGCTGGTGACAAATGGACACCTTAGTTTACATTAGTGATATGCAGATCAAAGGAGATGGCTGCTTGTTCTGTGCCCTTCTGATTGCAGGAACATTGCACATTTCTGACCCCAGCAAGTCTAGTGATTGTAGGGGATGGGGTTCCAGAAGCAGCCGAGTTTGAGAACTACTGCCCACACTGCACTAGCTGCTTAGCTGCAGTTGACTGAAGACACAAATGCGACAGGATACATAACTGGATCCTGGATTTGTGGGAGGGGGAGGCTAGCAAAGTCCTTTGGGGGAACTGGAAAAATTTTAATATGGACTGCATTATTAGATATAATCCGTGCTAATGGTAGTGTGGTGACACAATGTCATTATAAAAGAGTAGGCTCAAATGTTTAGGGGTGAAGTATGATGTTTACAACTTACTTTCAAATGGTCTTGAAAAAGCCTATTAGTCTACCTGAGCCGCCATAACAAAATCCAATACTTAACAAGTTTATCTCACATTTCTAGAGGCTAAAAGCCCAAGATCGAAGTGCTGCTTGATTATTCCTGGTGAGAGCTGTCCCCTGATGAAGACTGCCTGGGTCCTCACATGCTGGAGGGGGAGAACAAGCAAGCCTCTGGTGTCAGTTACAAGGGCACTGATCCATCATGGGGGCCACACCCTCAGACCTCTGCTAACCCTCATCACCTCCCAAAGGCCCCACCTCCAATGGCATCAGTAGAGGTGAAGGCCTCAGCAAGTGAATTTTAGGGGACACAGTTCAGTCCGTAGCAAAGTGTATGTAGAGAGAAAAAAATAAATGCACACACTACAGCAAGTTAACTGCCTGCAAAGGTAGGGGTAGAGTACACAAGGTTTTCTTATTACTTTTAGCTTTTCAATATTTATGAAAAATTTCCAAATAAAAAGTTTGAGGAGTCTTGAAGCTGCTGGTGGCAGAAAGCCTGGGAAAAGCTGAGGGTACAAGCACTGTCTTCAAGAATGTGAAGAGCTAGCCCATTGCAGCGTTGTCCCTGCCACTCCAGGGACAGGGCTGGATCCACTGGCAGATGTACAAGGAGGCACCTCTAGTCTCGACATGAGGACTTCCTGAGCCACAGCTGCAGGGCACCAGGCATGTGGCTCTGGGTGACAGCTCAGCTGCCCTGGGTCAGTGGCCCACAGGGCCTGGGGGACCACGTGAGGGATGCTTGCAGCAGGGCTGTACAGCCAGCTCTCAGAATTTTAAGATTATACAGATGTGTGTGCGCCCACAAGCATACGACTTGACTAGTTTACAAGGACAGGTGTCTTCTAGTGATTATCTTAAGTGCAATCTGGAGGAAAGTTAGAAGAGTCTGGGTGTGCATGTGTGTTCACTCCTTGTTTCCCACAGGCAAAAATCACCATAAATTCAAAATTCCCATTGTGCTCCAATGTCTGTTATCAACCGACTTGGAACAAATCTGTATCCTAGTGGAACTGCCTGTGTGACCCTACTTCCCACAGGCCACGTGGGTTTTGAGCTCACGACGCTCCCTCTCCAACAGGGTCCTGAACTGCTCCCCCTCTGCCACCCACTCTAGACCTGGGCTTGCTCGAATCTCCTCTTCTTCTCATTCCTTCCCAATTTTTATCAGTAGAACTCTAACACTGTTTCCTCCAAGTTGCTCTTCCTTTAAAAGCAAAAGTCACAGATTAGGAAATCAAGACAAGTGGAAGTAGGTGGCTTGTTTTCAGCTGCCAATGGTCACTGTCTAGACAAGGCAGTTAGCTACAGTAGCCACATCAGGAAGGACCACACCTGCTCCTTCCACATGCCAGCTCTATGAGCAGAAACAGTCTGCTTTTCAAACTCTATGATCAGGAAGAAATGATAAGCCCAATATGAAAGGTCTCCCCATCACCATCTGGTCCAAAGACAAACACTCTTTTGTACCAATCTTTATGTATTTATGCACACATCTGATAAAAATGTCACAGAGGAGTGAAATCATTATGATGACATAAGCAACTATATAGACCGACCCCAAGTGCAGAGTCAAATTCCCCAAAACCAGAACTACTGGGTCGTCGGGAAAGTCATGACGCATTTTTGCACTGAAAAACATAGAAAAATACATCATGACTTTCCCAACAACCCAATAGGACACCACACAGCTCCTGACCGCCTGTACACTCACATTCTCGCCCACACCCACCCACCCTCAACAGTCACAGGCGAGTTCTGACAATAACCCAAGGCCTCCTCCCTGGCTTGTCAGTCCTAGGAATGAGGAGAGAGAAATGATCAGTGACAAGCTGGGACTGCTTGACATATCTCTGCTCTGCCAACAACTCAGGGAAGGCAAGACAGGAAACACTGGGGCGGTTGTTTCCTTGGCACACAACTTCACAGGCAGCAAAGAGGTCAAGGGGCTTAAGTTAGTCTCCGTTTGGCTCCAAGGAGGGAAAAAAGGGAAAACCTGGTCATTTAAATTCTAGGTAAAAAGGGGAGGGAAGGTTTAAAACTTGATCCCTAGTCTCCCGTCAGATGGCAGCATGACCACTGCAGAACCCGCGAGGCCAAACTGATACCATCTGATTGTGACTTCATCCAAACAGCCTAGTTCGATTTTATTTTAGCTCTGAAGAGAGAAGTAACACTTTCAGAAAAACAAGAGGTCACACAAACCATATCCCCATTGTATTATATATTAGTGTTCGGGGCAAGAGTATATCTATTCATTCACACAGCTTGTCTACAGCTCTGAGAGCTCTAGGGAGTGGCCCACCCCACCCTCTGCCTTCAGCCTTCAGAGATGAGCAAGTCCTTGGCGTCCAATCAAACCTGAAGTGTAAAAAATAATACCTGAATCAAAATGGTATCTTACAGACAGTGAGACTATGGAGAAATTCTTTTCAACTCCCCAACTCCTACTTTTTGACACAAAGATTTAAAAAACCTAAACTGTGTTGTTTTGAGCATCTCCACTGACCTGACAAAACACTGATACAGAAAGCTACTGTCTGAAAGGATTCGTTCCCAGTGTTCTTGGGTCAATGAGTCAAGGAAGGAGGCGCCAAGCCCAATTATCACCGTACATGAATACAGAGAACGGGCCAATCCAGGGGCTCTGTGTGGTCAATGGGGTGGTATGTGGGCGGCAGAGAGAAATTCCTTGGTACAAACTTTATGTACCGAAAGAAGCAAGGTGAGGACAAGGCACTTACACTGCCCAACAATAGCTTACATCCCGTCAACACCAAGGCTGTCACCAAGCACCTGCACTGCGCTCCCATCAACAGGACACTGCATTTTCCAGTCTGGAGAAGTCCAAATGCTGCAGAATTGACAGTGGGAGTTGGAATGCTGGTGGAGGAAACTACTCAGGGGAAGCAAAAACAAGTTGTCCTCTTCTGTCCTGAGGTGAGATTTGTTCCAGATTAGCTCAGTAGAATACTGAATTGCAGAAAGCTTGGCCTGAAAATATGACAATGCCCCCACAGATGCCTCCTTCTTCTCCATTTTGATAAAGAGCAACAAGGGCTCTGAAGGAAATCAGGACCAGTTATTGAATTATCTTGCACTGCTGGTTACAGCAGACGCCTTCTAATATACGTCCCCATTCTGTGGCAGTGATAAGGGACCGAGGTAGGGCCAGGAGCAGCCTGTCCCTTCTTATCCCAAAGACCTTTAAGCGTACTCAATCCGGGCAGGGCCACAGCTACCCTCGCTGTTCCGCTCGGAAGACGGGCTGGTGGCCTTGGCTTCACCGCCCATTTCCAGAGGCTTAGCTGAGATGTAGTCCTTTACTTTGATCTCCATGTTCTTGGCTTTCAGAGTGGCCATATGCAGCTTCTCCAGGAAATCTGGCATGCCTGTCGGCAGAGGGAAATGTGAATAGGCTGACAAACAAACTGGCAGTAGGCTCAAAATTAGAAGGCCCCATTTCCTTCACGGAAGAGCCCGGCCCTCCTCTCAGAAATCACTGCCCGAATGACATGTGAGTGACAGCTGCCTCTCAGAATGTACAGGGAGTGAAACAAGCCATGACCTCTGAAATTCTTTAAAAAGAGGTACTGATCAGGCCACCTAAGTCCCAAATGGCTCTTTCAGGTGATGAAAACATCACTTATCAGCGGCACAGCCGATGTAGCTGCCTATTTAGACAAATGTCACACAGAAACACACAGTCTCCTCTCCATTCTCCCTGAGCTACAGAAGCTGCCAGAATAAAGAAAATCACATCAGGGTGCTTTTTCAGGCAAGACATGGAAAGGGAAAGGTCCAGTTACAGCCATGGTGTGTAGCCTTTGTTAGCATAGGCACCACTGCCCCTTTTTCCTGGTGACTGTCCTACAGCCACATTTCTATGCCAGATGTTACGGCCTCCAACACTAACTAAGAAGAAAAATTTAAGGGAATTAATGTCCACACTTAATACTGAAGGCATTAAGCAAATGCTCTTCTTAAATCCCCACTCTGGGCACAGGTTCCAGTCTGGGACTCCATACTTATCCTCCAAACCCCAGCTGGAGGCTTCCATATCGTCACAGTTTTCAAGCCCAAGTTTGGAAGGACGTTTAATTTTCCCAACAGGGCTCCAGTGGGTCAAGTACTAATCTTGCTTCCATCAAAAAGTGAGAGAAAAACAAGATGCTCAGCCCAGGCTCCAGGCCCTGTCTAAAAGTGCCCACTCACCACTGGAAACCATCCAACTAACACAGTATCGAGGAAACACAGTCTGGGGATTGTCACTGTATGTCAACAAGTAGTCAAAGCCGTTCTGCAAAAGAAAAACAGCCAGATGAAGGTACCTGCATTACCCCACAGCCTCCGCATCCAGGCCCACAGGATAGGCTTACCTGAGTCTGGGACAGAGTGCCAGTTTTTCACCTGTGCAGAAGACTTAAGAAGACCTGAGAGGTTGCGATCTGTACAAAGGCCCACTTGCGAGGCTGGCCCTCAGCTGGGGTCTGGGAACCTGGCTCCCCAAGTGGTCCCAGTCAACAGTCAATTGCTAAGGGTGCCTCCCCGTGCCTTGTCCATCAGTGCACACACTGTGGTCTGTGATGGGCAGAGGTGCCTGTGACTAGCCAGACCCCCAGTGAAAATCTCAGGTGCCAAGTCTTTAATGGGCTTCCCTGGGCAGAAACGTCACACCCATGTTGCTGCATTTTTGTTGCTGGGAGAAGAATGTGCTGTGATCCTGATGGCAGGGGAAGAGCATGGGAAGTCTGCACATGGACCCCTCCAGACTATGCCTGTCCTTTCCCTGTGACCCAGCTGTGTGTCCTTGCTGCATCACTGTAATGAATCTCAGCCATGAGGACAACTATATGCTGAGTCCTATGAGTCCTTCTAGTGAATCTTCAAATTCAGGGATGGTCGTGGGGACCCCCACACATGTCCCCAATGTCTAAACATCTTAATCTTTACCCAAATGGTATTAACAGCAAAATTTATATAGCACTTAACTGCATGCCAGGAACTGCTTCAACTCCTCACAATGATCCTAGAATGTAGGTCCTGTTACCCATTTTACAGATCAGGAAAGTCAACAGAGGTGAAGTAATCTGCCCCAGGTCACCCCCCATGTACTCAACGAGAGCCAGGATGAACATGGGAGTCTGACGGCAGGGCCTACGCACCCAACTCTCTCATTGCCTGATACAGTGAGGGACGGGGGTTAAGGGTATTCACAGATGTCTTGACCCTAGCAGAGGTCTGAACCAGTTATGCTCCACCCCAAGGGGTAAGACAGAACCACTCATGTGTCTGCACCTTTAAGGCAGACCACCACAACTCCAGGTGGCAAATATGTACTATAAACTCTTGTGCCTTTGCACCAAAGCCCACCTTCTTTTCCCTGAGTGAACTGTTTAATCTTTTATTCATTTTCTCAAAATATATTGGATTGAAAAATACAGTGACTGCTGCTGTGTGCCATTCAGTGGAAAGGCAGGGATTTTCAATACGGGAAGTAGCATGTCAAACCCTAGTAACAGTGTGTGACAAGTTTCAACTTGTTTGCTGCAGTCAGTCAGGTGTAAGCCATGGTGGAGAGGTGTGTTTTAAAGTGTGTGCCGTAAATCATTTTCCATCATGACAACGCTCCGTGTCACACATCGCTTCTGGTATAGCAATTTCTGTCAAGTAAAAACATTACGGTGTGTCCTCATCCACCTTATTCACTGGATCTGGCACCGTGTGACTTCTGGCTCTGACCCAATGTCAAAATGATTCAGGACATAGAGGCAGCCACGACAGTGCAACTGAAGACACTCATGAAAGAGGACTTCCAGAGCTGCTTCAGAAAGTGGCAAGAATGATGGGATAAGTGTGTTTGAAGTAAGGGGGAGTATTCTGAGGGGGATTAATGGCAATGTGTCTTTTACTATAATATATACATTTTTCTATTTAAACATTTACCATATTGTTTCATCACACCTCATAACCAAACAAAAGTCTCATGAAATACACTTATATTCAGTTTCTATTCTGTTCTACTTACTCTTTCCCTTTTATAAAAAAGCTGGTCATAACGCACTAAATTAATTTTGTCTTCTATTAATGGGTAGCAGTCCATGGTTTGAAAAACAATGCTCTAAAAATAGTACAGAAGTAAACACATAGGTCTCCTAAAAAGAGAGTCCAACACCAAACTAAGGTGAGCCACCATTTTTCTCTGTCATCGTTAAAGTCCCTCTTCAGGTATACCACCTGAACAAAATAAAACAACTTGATGAAAACAACAAAAGCAAACTGAAGAACACAGTACAAATAGCTCTAAAACAAACAAAAGTGATGGTAAGAAAAAAATGCCATTATAAAGTGAAACAGAACTATAAACAGCAGCCACTGGAACCCGTAAGTACACTCAGCGATTTGGCTAAAAAAACAGAAATAAGACACCCCATTAAGTTGAAGAAAATATTCTCAAAGAAAGGTCATAGAATTTTAAAGAAGGCAGAGAGCATTAGTCTAAGCCTCTCATCTTACAAAGAGAGAAGTGACATTTTGATGGAAAAAATACCTGCTCTAGTTCCTAGAGAATGCTGCTATGCAGAGGGACTGGGGGCACACCTTCTCTTAACTTAGATAATGGACTTTGTCATGGGGGACCCTCCAGGTGTACCACCCCACAGCAGGGGTTCTCAAAGTGATTCCCAGACCACCAGCAAAAGCCTTACTTGGGAACTTCCTAAAAATGCAAATTCCCAGGTCACAGCCCAGCCCAGCCCGGTACCTTAACAAGCTCCAGTGGATTCTGAGAACCACTGCCCGACAGCAACCCATGCCCTCCCCAGTTCAGATCAAAAGCATTCCTTGAGAAATCCCAAAGCCCCTACACATCACCTCTTGCATGATGGAAAACTCACCTCATCAAATGACTTGTGGGGACGGATGACCATCTGGGATTCATATGATCTGACCCTCACAAACTCCGGAGACTCGGGCACACTAGGGTGCTCCACAGCGCTGGTAAGGAGAAAAGCAAAGGAAACTCTGAGTACCGTCTACATACAAAACAGCACAGGAGCTCCAGTTAGGGAAATCTAAAAAGCTGGCTCTTCATCTTTAAAATACAACAGAGGATTACAGACATGAATGAATACAAACTAAGTTGTAAAAACAAGGACCTTACCTGATGGTCCCCGGCTCACTAGGCTTTGTGTTGAAGAGAGCACTTCTTTTAATTATCAACATTAAGAAACTAAAGAAACAGTTTCATGAAAAGCTTATATCCCCCCAATCTCATGTACTAGCTGGGATGGATGGGGCCTAGGCTTCACTCTTCAGGGCCCTGAGAACATGCAAAGCCACCACATACGAGGTGTGATAAAAAAATATGATGAATGGGCCGGCCAAGTGGCTCAATTGGTTAAGAGCTCGCTCAAGAGTTTGAGCTCTGAGCAACAGGGTCCCTGGTTTGATTCATGGCCCAAGCTGAGCTGCCGCTGAGCTGCCAACAGGTGGCAGGATGGCTCAGCTAAAAACAAAACAAAAAAACCCCACGATGAATGTTTAAATAAAAATTTATTACAGTAAGACACATTGCCATTAATCCCCCTCAAAATACTTCTCCTCGCTTCGAACTCACTTATCCCATCATTCTTGCCATTTTCAGAAGCAGTTTTGGAAATCCTCTTTCTTGAGTGTCTTTCCTTCATCCTCCATCATGACAACAATCCGTGTCACACATTGCTTCTGGTACGGCAATTTTTGTCATATATGAATCGATTCAGGACATCAAGGCAGCCACGACAGTGCAACTAAAGATACTCATGAAAGAGGACTTCCAGAACTGCTTCAGAAAGTGGCAAGAATGATGGGATAAGTCTGTTTGAAGCAAGGGGGAGTATTTTGAGGGGGATTAATGGCAATGTGTCTTTTACTGTAATAAATTTTTTAATTTAAACATTCACCGTATTTTGTGATCACACCTCTTATGTGAATGAAGGACACAGCTAATGGAACTCAGCAGGCTAATCACACATACCGTGACACCAACACCATCAAGTTGTTTTCCTGATCCACACTATACCGTCGAACGTAAACATAATCCCGTGAGTACATCGGATACTAAGGAAAAAAAGGGCAGGGTTATTGTTTGGCCTCACATGGACACAATGGAAGTAAAACCAGAAGCAAAAACACTCACAGGAAAATGGGTTACCCAGTGAAGAACCTCGGAACCACTGACCACGTCTCTCTCGATCACTTCCAGTTTGATCACCAAGGCATCCCACTTTTTCCTATACTCTGTATCCAGCTGTGGGAACAGGAAAGACCATGAAGACCCAAGAGATTCAAAACAAAGCTGCAGAAGCCTTCTCCAGATGCTTGGGCCTCCGACCCAAGGACTTATTCTGAAACAGTGATTGAACCTAAAAGATTGTGCCAAAGTGTAAAAGACATGGCTGTGCGTACTACAGATGAGTCCCTTCTTGTAGACCAATACCATTACCCTGAAAGTGAACCTTAACAAGACAAACCAATGAAAAATGTAAGAAAAAAATTACTGTAATAGGTATGTCTGAAGAAAATAAAACACAAGATATAAATGTGTATGCGTGAAACAATTCTAAAAACTTTCAAAAGCCCAAAAGTATGAGCAGACACCTCACACAAAGAAATGCAAGTAGCATATATTATAAATTTCTAACATCACTAGTAAACCAAGGAATTTCAAAATAAGACACACATCCTATACACCCAAATCAACAAAAATTCAATGTAAATTGACAAAATTCAGGGCTTAGGGGAAAGCATGCACTTGAATATTATTGTGGGTATTATAACCAACTCGTTACTCAAAGTCCAGAAAAACAAATGAAAAATCCAGGAAGGAAAACAATTTTTTGTAGAACTCTGCATGGGCCCACCTCCCCTATTCACATTTGCCCCCAAAGAGGAGAGCAGTCTTTGTGAACAGACACTTTTCATCTTATAATTAAGAAAATACCTTCACTGTGGAAATGTTCCAGGTTACTAAATCCTGATTGGATATGTACTAACAGGGAAAATGCTATAAAGGACATTGCTGGATCAATACATAAAACTGGAATACAAAAGGAAGATTATGCAAGTGTGGCATCAATGCTAAGTTTACTGACTTTGAAAGTGGTTCCATGGTAGCTAACAGACTATGTCTAGGATTTAGGATAAAGGGCCAGATATGTACCTTATCCTCCAATTGTTCAGGGAAGAAAAATGGTAAAGCCTTATAGAACATGAAAGCATTCAAAACCGTGCCTCCATCTGCTCTTTCAACAGCCCTGTGAGATGACGGGTAGAACTGGTCTCGTCCCCTCTGGACAAAGAAATTATAAGCCAAATGTTTACCCAAATGCTACCTAACATGAGATGAGGGGTACAGAGATGGATGGATGTACTGAAGCCAATGTCTTCTGAGTCAGAGAAATTATTTACGTGGATGGTGGGAAGAAAAATGTACTCACCTGAACATTGAAGAACTGCCGTGGTGTCACATCTGTGTAGGTTCCAAAGACTACAATGACAAGAAAGAGTAAGGGGTATTTGTCACACTCTCATCGCTCACCATATTCCCATTACTTAACTACTTTGATTCTAGTGCTGACGGATCTTAAAGGCAGACTCAGAAACTAGAAATCATACTGGGCAGCAAGTAGGACAAACGACCTACAGCAGAGTATAGCAAAGACACCGAGACTCTTGTGATCTGGGAGAGGGTACACAGCACACAGTAAACCATGGCATTTTCCTGAGAACAACCAGAACAGAACAGTTAGAGCACGAGGCACCTGGGCAACCCTGGAACACACTGACAGGAAGCCACACCATGCCGGCTCACCGCGGTACTGGTAAAGGTGGGTGCCTGTGATAGGGCGCCGCCACAGCTTAAAGTGCTTCTTCTCCATCACCATTTCCCAGAGCTGCGCTTTGGCCCCAGAGTCCTCACTCCCTTCTGTTTGTGGATTTGGTTCTGGAGGGTGGCGGTCAACTCCAGAGCTCTGGAACACAGTGGACATTTCCTCCAACCGTCTCATCTCATCGATGGATCTGGGAAGGAGGAAAACAGGCATGGACAAGGTGAGTGGAGTCAGCCCTGGGACATGAAATGTCCACAGAGACTTGGGTAAGAACAGTGTGGGTTTAAAACAGTATAAAGTGGAGTAAATAAAAACGTGAGTTTCCGAGTTTGAGTCCCATTCCAACATCCATTTACTAGAGTAATAAATTTCTTAACCAGTCCCTATTTCTTTTTTTTTTTTTTTT